AATTTTCAGGACTCAAATAAAACAAAACATTTATAAAAAGTCAACGCCGGAGACCGGCGGTCTCCGGCGGTCAACGCCGGAATCTGGCCGGAAAAAAAATATTTCAGAAAAAAAATTATTTTATGAAAAAAAAAAGTTTTGGGGGTTAATGTGATATATTTGTTAAAATCCGGGGTCAATGTGTAATATTAAAGAAGTTAGAGCATAATGGGTGGATTTGATACGAATTAGGGTTAAAATTGGGGTCAAAATTGAAATTTGGGTTAAAATTGGTTAATTGATGAAATTGGGCTAAATTGGGGTGTAAATCATGAAATTGGAGTTAAATTGGGTTTCAAATGAATTGGGGGTAATTTTGGTATATATAAAGGGATTTTCCTTATTTGCAAATAAGTTTGAATGGGGTGGATTTATTTGAAAGACAAAAAAGTTGGATGTCCCTATTTTAATTAAGTGCCCTTGTCATGGGCCTATTTGCCATTACCCCTATATTAAATATTAGTTACACATGAGGATTTTTAGGTTACGGTTATACAATTAAATATTATTAATATAATTAAAAATTGGTTTGTTTGTTGGAATAACCCTTTAAATTATAAGTAGATTGCATATTTATTTATTAAAAAAAAAAAAAGTAGATGGGGATTTTTCGGGGTGGGTATCTGTGGGGAGTTTATGGAGCTGGTTTGGGGATTCTATTTCATAGAGTTCGGGTTTTATGACGAGAATGGGGATTTCTATAGCGGGGCGGGATGGAGATTGCAAAACCTGCCCCATTGCCATCCATATTACACAAGGGTAGTTTTTGCAGTTTACTCGTTAATATTAACATAAACCTTTATTGAATTACATATATAATGGAAAATATAAAATAATTACAATAATTTGAGACAAAAGCAACATAAGAATAAAATCAATAATTAAATATTGTTAATAAAAAATGCAATGTAGATTTTCTTGTTTAGAATTTTAAAAGTTTTGCAAATGAATGTAAAACTACTAAAAAAATTTATACCCACTATATATTATATATATTACAATCCTACTATAGTTTGTTTCATTAACGTTTATATATTTAATAATTTCTCTATATACTTGTTTTTCAATTTTATAATTGCTCGTTTCACAAAACAATTTCTTTGAGTGAGTTGGAATCACTCCAAATGTTTTTTTATATAAATTACTAATATTCCTTAGAACATTTATATCGATTTAGTGGGTGAACATGTATATATAATGAGAGCCACAACTCTCAAGTCGTGAGAAAAACAAATAAAATATGATGATTTGATGTTAAGAAAAACAATAGGAGAAGTTTTCAATAAGAAAACACATAGGTCTTTCTTTACAATTAACTCTATACATCATTCTTTTCGTTAATTTGTATTTATATATATACGATATAAGTTGGTGCAAGTACTCTTATGATTTCAGAAAACATATAGTATTAAAGAAAAATGACAGAAAATAAAATGTCAAGTATGATTCACAAAATCAAGCAAAAACTAGAGGCCCTCCACCTCCGCCACAAGAAGGAGAAGGAGGACGACGAGAAGCATAGTGAAGTTGTACACCGAGAGGTAGTAGTACACAATAGCCATCATCGACGAGAGCAATTGAAGGAATTGATGCATAACATCAAGAAAA